CAGGAGATTAGCTATGCATAAATTGTCTCTGTTGACAATATCTTACAATATTATTATTATTATTCCTTCGGGTTTCGAGTGAGACACAGAGTGTCAGCAACACAACTCCATTTCATCCTGTTCTCTGTAGTCCTCTTCAGGCGGTTCCCCAATTACCCAAACGCTTTCATTTTCTCCACACACGCCCATCTCGTTATTTCTCATCCGTTCTCATCCACTGGAGTATGTGGGGTGTGATGATACTCAGCGGTCTACCCAATGTGTGTCCATCTCCATTTCACTAGGAATATTTTCTGATTGATTGTTTGGTGCCAGATTTCCTTGTTGCTTATCCTTTCTGGTGGTCATCTGATTTTAAGTTTCTGGATAGCGAAGGCCGGTGTTCATGAAAGTCTGAAGTAAACCCTTAGGAATGCCATGCATGACACGCCAAGTCTCTGAAAATTCGAATTTTGTTCTTTATGCTGAATGCAGCAAATTTCCAAACTGATTTTAGAGTGATGAAAGTCGCCCTTGCTTACCAATTGATCTATGTATATATATATATATCAAGAATCAGTAGCCGTATAGATGGGATGATATCATATGAAATCATATACATCAAGTTGCATACATATCATCATCTTGATCCAAACTAAGCATATCCATCTGCCAAAACTCTTAGGCTCCATTTTTATATATTTCAGCCCGAAACGAAGTACACAGACTTGAGATACATAGTTAACAGATATTATAAAATCAGTCATTGTTTCAGTCCTTTTAAATAAGAGTAGGAAACCCCCACATCAATAGATAAAAGATGTCATTCTAATATTACTCGATGATATGATTTCAATGTACTTATCACCAAGAGAAATTAATTTTTAACTGGTTGCTCACTAACATGATTAGAGATGAAAAGGAGATTGAATGTAGTTTACACATATTTCTTGTGCTATAATGACAATCTTACCGCTGAGAGATTATTAAATGGTATGTTAGATACTTAATCTGAGTTGATAAGAATTTATAAGTTTTATAAGCATTTGGATTACATTGCACTTCAACAATTCCTGTTTTAATAAGTAATCGATGAGTAATATCAGCCCATGCATACTCACTAGATAGTCCGGCCAAACGCATGTGGAAGTGATAAACACATGATTGACATGACGTCTTATCCTAAATTAGATAAGTTTCTATTCATTATTCTCATGAGATAAAAGCGTTTACAAGGAAGTGGAGAAATGACAAGTCCTAGGAGGTGATGTAGGAGAAGGCTATAACGAGATCCGTAGACACCAAGGTGGGGTATTAAGTATGGGAATTGAAAAGAAAGTTCACGAAATAACTTGTTGTTATTCAACTGACCTCTAATGTTACTTTCTTGGGGGAAGCTTCGCAAAATGCAACTTTTCCATAGAGCCCATAAAAATGTACACCCGTGTTTTCACAAGTTTTGTTGTTTTTCTCTGTGACTTCGTGGTTGCTATTGTAAAAATTATTCGGACCTGTTTGAGAACTCATATTGCCGTTCCAACAAATAATTAAACTATCAGATTGGCAAACATACTGTAAAGGAGACTAATCCGAATATTCTATGCGTGCGGCTTTCTATTATACTATTACATTTCTAGCCAGTGGACGGAATTTTACGCTAAAATAACTCTTCAACCCAAAAAGAAGAAACGTTGCAATTACTCCTTGTTACTGTAATGGTAAATAATTCCCCAAAGTTTCTAGCCTAAAGCATTCTTCACTCAACATTAGATGCTGTTTTATTCGTCATCACATGTGATTTAAATCTTTCACATAAGTGACATAATCGTCGGGATGTTATTTTGGCTACTGACGACATTAGTACTCAATACTGAACATGGATGATTGTTCACCGAACATTTGAGATAAAATGGTGACTGTATCATCGAATGACAATTCACGTGAATTCTTTAGCAGAATGAAATTAAAATATTTGTTGTGCTCGACAGAACCAAGTTTTCGTTAAAACAATCGAACTTTCGCAGCATCATCAAACATGGTATATTCAATACAAAGACGCATTTGTAACCACTGAATTATGAATCAATTACAAGGCTAGACATTGGATCATAAATTGAACTCACAGAGAAGAGACCTAATCAGCAATAAGTAGATAGAAATTAAAAAAATAGACTGATCATTTCAAAGGACTGTCAAACCCAACATCACCTATAACTCGTACACAAAAATGTCAGTAAACACCAATCTCTCGACAAAAGCAGAAGTTTCCAGTGTCATAAAATTACTGGAAGGCAGTGGAAAAAGCGGCAGAACCACAAGGGATTACCCCGGAAGCACTGAAAACGGACCCAGAGACCTCAGTCACCATCCTCACGCCCCTATTACAGTAAGTTTGGAAGGAAACGTCCCTGCTGATTGGAAGAAAGGCTATCTTGTCAGGCTACCAAAGAAGGGTGACATAGGCCTATGCTAAAACTAGTGTGGAATTATGTTCCTATACGCGCTAAGCGATTATTAAGTCACGTTATCCTGGAGAGACTGAAAGATGCTTTGCATGCGGAACTCCGCCCCGGACAATCTGGATTCAAGAAAGGCGAATCATACGCAGATCGAATTGAAACTCCACACATCACCATGGAACTGAGCATAAAGTGGAAGTCAAATCTCTATCCCAGTCCCACCGACTTTGAAAATGGCTCCGACAGCGTTGATCGCAAGGCAGTTTGGAAACTAGTTCAACTATACGGAGCGCCCGTATCCTTCGTTTATCGCCCTCATCCGATATTTACATAATAACGCACACCTCAGGTGATCGATAACATGAGCGTATGAAGTGAAGAGAGGAGGAAGACAATGCTGGCTACTTTCATCGACGATATTCCTAATCGTGGTGGACTGGAGTATGTGGGAGACTGTGTGGAGCGAGAAGAATATATTAGACTGACAAGGAGACTCTAGAAGATGTGGATTTGGCGGACGACTTATGTTTAACGTCACACAAATTCGATTATTTACAGGGGAAAACCAACAAGTTGGCAGAGGAAGCCGGAAGGAAAGACACAACTGTAAGTAAACATAGCGAAGGTGGAGGTGATGAACACGACCAACCAACCAACAACAATAACAGGCATCAGTCACTATCGACGGAAGAAATTTAAACGAGGCCACTTCTTCCACTTACTTAGGCAGCATCGTTTCAACTACAGACAGCACGGAGACTTAGCGCATCACGGAAAGCATTTCCAACAGTCTGCTGAAGATTTTCATCAATATCCGCCTTCACTGTCCTGAAACTGAGTATCAGATGGTCAGAAATAACTAGCAACAAGGAACTTTGGTAACGAATCAACCAAGAAACTTCTACTCAACAGATATGCCAAAGGAAATACAGATGGATTGGAAACACACGGAGACGACCGGTTGGCAGACTCACCCACGATTGCAACTCAAAAGGCAGACGACGTGTTGGTCATTCGAGAGTGACGTGGAGGAGGTGATGACAACCCTTGGACAATCGTGGAGCCACCTGAAGAGGACTTCGGAGAACAGGATGAAATGGAGATGTGCCGTTGAAGCTTTATGTTCCACTCGGAACACAAGGGAATAATAAAAAATCATAGTAATAACTGCAATATTATGTTTGAGTATCGCTTATGAAGTGTGGCGACTTGGGTCATGTACAGGTTTGCAAAAATCTGCTTCGGAGAACTGATTCAGCCGGGATGATGTTTCAAGATATAAAGAGAAGAACACCTTAGAAGGCACAGATTTTGCAGCTGACTCACGCCTAATTTGCCACACACACACACCCACACGTTCGAAGATGTATGAATGAAAATGAACATGTTGACAAGAGGAGCAGAGAAGACAGGATCTCAAGCGAATACAGAGAACGCAACCACATGAAAATATTTATGTATTTATAGTAGTGATAATGATAGTATCACTAGAGAATATTTTATTACTATTCGGTCACTTTTGACGTTACAAGTGCTACTTAATAGAAAAATAAAACAACAATCGATGAAACTCATCAAATTTTGAGTACAAAATGAAAGCGAATATTGTGTAAGCCAATGGAGGAAAAACTAGGAGAAAAGAAACAGAAACACTGAAATTTACATGTGACGTTAGCTAATTTTCCCACCTATCCCCTCCCCACACACTGCCTTTGCTTTCAACTATCAATGTGTATGCAAAAGGATAAAATAAGTTTAAACATGGATTCCAAAAAGGTGATGTATGCATGTATATGACGCTCAAGACAGTTTTCTGGCTTAAGTTCTATCCATGAAGTTGGAGAATCCCACCCCACCCCCCCACACACACATACACACACACTAACACTTGTGTGAAATGAAATCGAATTCAATGAGACTACTGAAAGTGGTGGAAACAAAAAAAGGAACAAAGAAACTAACAAAGTGGAAAGATTAAGAAAATGTAAGAAATGATATATGGTGTATATCAATTGAAATTGGTTGTTGTCGCTGTTGTTGTTGTTGTCACTTTTCGATAAAATTAGGAGGAAAAAGCAGAACAACAACAACAACAGAATATAACAACTTTTACGAGATGTGAGTACATTTCTCTGAATTACACGCCCAGTAGTATTCATTTACTAAGAATATTATTAGGGTACATACGTCAAGAGGAACAACAAGGAGATTTTCGTGCATAGAAACAGAAGAATAAAGACGGAGATAAAATAATGGTAGTTCAAATTCGTATATATATATTAGATGGAGTAGTTATGCCGATTAATCTGTAATCAGTCAAGTGAGCAGGTGAACAAGACACCTGTGTGTGTGTGATCAGATTGCGATGAATCCACAGAGCTAAACGACTAATCTACGACTAAGAAGTCAGTATTCAACCGTCAAATGTGTTTAACAAAGGCAGCAGAATAAGTATACGCACACACACAAACACACACAATGATATATCTATGTACAAAACTAAGATCTATTCAGGAATCCACTCAAACAAACAAAAATAGCATTGATTCCATTGAATTCAATCTAAGCAATTGTTATAAGTGGCATAGAATGTTGTTCTTTTTGTTGTTTCGATTGTTGTTGTTGTTGTTGTTCTGGAGGTGGCGGTGGCTGTTGACCTTCGAATGTTGCGGTCGACGACGACGACGATGATGATGATGATATAATTGACGTATTCTCACCAATTTCATTATCACAATTAATCACATTAACAACTGAATTGGTTGATTGTTTCCCATTACCAGATTTGATTGTATTCTGTAGTAGCACTACTTTATCATTGTCAATATTCTTTGCGCCATCACCACCACCATCATCATTGTCACTATTATGCTTATTAATTGAATTACTAGGATGATAACTATAATAATCACTTCCAGCTGATGTATCATCCACCATCTTCTGATGTTGTAATTCAACTACTTCATTATTAATATTATTACTGTCATCGTGTTTAGGTATGCTGAATAATACAGAATTGTCAGTAAAACAACTTGATCGATTTGGAAGATTTTGTTGTTGTAATGACGAATCACTCAGTTTATTCTCATATTCATCCAGTGTATACGATGAGCTTTCAATGCATCGTTCACGTTTAAATATACTTAAAGTACCTTTAGCTTTATTTTCATGTAAACTATACAGAAAAGAGAAACAAAAAAATAAAAAAAGAAAGAAATTGAATTAGACAGTAACTGGTTTACTAAAAAAATAAGGCAGACATTATTATTATTATTTATTATTATTATAGAAAAAATCCCCATTTAGATATTTAGACGACAGAAAGATTGAGCAGCGAAGAAATATTCACTTTTCAATTAGATCCTCATCTCACTCTGGCTCTACTCTACTCTACTCTACTCTACCCTACTCTACTCTAATATACACGTATAGCATTTTTATTACAATACACAACAGTTTACCAATCACCAAGTGGCACCAAGTGATATGTTTGTTAACAATAATTAGTCAGTGTCAAAATGTCAATGGGTTAATTAATAATTAAGGAAGATAAACATTTAACACATTTAAAAGGTAGAAATGGTTAGAAATAATTAATTTAATTCTACAAGGATAACACGTAATTAAAGATGAAGTGGTCAAAATAAATAAAAAATAAGATAGAATAATTTGGACAATTATAATTTTTATAATTTTAAAAATTTACGGGGAGGGGGGGAAGTAGTCCGGTTTATACATTCATGTAACGATGGCCAAGGAAAGGAAAGTGGCTGTACAAATTTCTTGTAAACACACAGGTTTGGCTTCTTCAGGTGGATTCCTATTGCTTCCGCTGTCTGAAGAAGACGAACTCGTAGAGCAAAATTAAGATTAGTAGGAATGCGATAAATAATTTTAAATGCAGTATTCACATCAATCTTATGCTCAGTATCAACGAGGTGGGCTAAAATACAGCTACGAATAGATATTGTTTGTCGCATGCTTAACCATACTGAATGATGTTCAAAAATACGATGATGAACCAGCCTGATTGTACGCCCAATGTAGCTGGCTCCGCAGTTGCAGTCAAACCGGTAGATACACATAGAAGAGGCAAATTTAGGTAGTTTATCCTTACTTCTAGAACGTAGAATTATTATTATTATTATATTATTATGATAGTTATATATTATTGTTCCTTTGGGATAAAACGTGAAAACTCTGTTGGGGACTATGTGTGATATGCATGTCACTGGGCTATACTGTCCTTCTTCTTGAGAAACTTTCCTCCCCTGCATTCCGAGTGGAATAATATGCGAAGTATAAATTCCAGGACATAGTTTACAGTCTGACAGTATATGATCAGCGTACTCTAGTCAGATTGTCATTATAGCGTTAAATAATTATGCAATGTTCATTATTATAGTGTGTACGTGAGGTTTCTTTTTTTTAATGAGTATTTCACACTGCTACGATCACACTCATGTTTTTAAATGGCAGTATTTCTGAATACTTACGTATATATATATATAAGTCATAAATATTATGGATGAAAGGTATACACATATCTAAATTGTCACTAAGGTAGACAATAGGATAGACATACAGATATTAAATAAGCATTTTCATACGTATTCACGACTGCATAAAATTTTTCTATAACAAATCTAAACATGCAAGCAAACAATCGCTAAACTTAAGAAGTAGTTTGTAGACATGCTAGATGAGGCAGTGGGATGAGACATGTCATTTGGGAAATGAGAATAAGTATATTTATGATGTAGCGAATAAAATGCTAATGAGAACTGGATCAATAATCTCAGGATATAACGTGCATCAACCAATCATAAAAGGGTTACTTCCCTCTTTTTGATCCAGGGTGATTTGATGACGGCAAAATTATTTCTTCATCAGACTAACGTTGAAATCTTCGAATAATGGTAGTAGTTTCTGGAAGTTAGCTGTCAGAGATAGTTAGAATGAGTATAGGAGAAACATACACTAACATTTTTTCACACACACACAAAACATCACTGCATAAGAAGGGGAGAATTAAATTACAGTATAATTATTCTGAAAATGATTCTGCACTGTTTTTTACATATAATTAGCTACTTTAATGGAAGAAAGAAAAAGCTCCAACATAATTCTCACCTAGCTGAGAATTTGATAAAAGAAGCACAGTTAGTAGTACAATGAAATATTTTTGGTTTTTAGAGTTGATCCTAGTTCATGATGATAAAGAGCTGTATTATTCTGTCCAGTGTTCTGGATTGAAACTCAGGACTGCACAGTTATTCCTCACTTCTCTTCCTTCTCGTTCTTTTGAATTCCTTTCAAGGAGTAAGGCCGCTTTCCTGACGCCCAAGTATTCCTTTTCATCAGGCTTACCTAATAATGAACAAACGAGATAAAGTAGTACGTCGGGCAGGAATCGAACACCGGACCATGTAAGTGGTTGGCAAGCATTCTACCACTGAACCACCTACAGTATTTATGACTAGAATGGAGCTGTCTGAGTTCGCATCACGGAGATTTGAAGACGATGGTGTCTCATAGCCTAGCTTATGAATGTAAAAGTTTGCTTCACGCAAAAAATAAATTAGGCATATGACGCAATGCATCCTTAGGAATTTGAATAAAAAACAAATCAAACCATGCAGTCCCTTAGGACTACATAGTGCAGTAGAACTCCATGCATAAAAAGTAAGTAACTAAAACCAGTACTGACATTTTAGGGGACAGGAAGTTTGAATACTACAATCTTTATGTGGCATCAATGACTGAATATTGCATATGCCTCGGAATTAGGAATACTATAGATTAGGGATAATTCCAACTTACTCCTAGACAGATCTTAGGATCAAATACCTTCGGTACATAGTTTTATTGTTTCGAGTTGTTGAATTTATCGAGATTTGAATGATATGAAAATAAATTGCCTCAAGAGAAGACAAACGTCTTAGCAATGGTTTACACTGTTAAAGGATTTACAGAACCAACACATGCCTTCATGGCTTCAAAAATTTGGATTCGATGATTGATAGGAAAGGATGAGGAAGCAAGAAGCTACTCTGGTAGTGTGCAAACCAGCCAGCAACCTACTTACGGCCCAACCAGCAAATGTGCAGAAGCAAATGGAGATAGATTGGATATATGCTGAGGGAACTGCTAGTCGACGTCATGTCCTGTAGTGGAATCTGAATGGGAAGAAACGAGTTACGCTTCCTAAGGTGACATGCAGGATATCATACGAGCTGGAAATGAAAGCCTGTGTATATTCGTGGAGCCAGCTAAAAACAGCTGCATTGAGAATACATCTTGCTACATCTAAGAATTCAAGAAATGAATAGTAATATGACTAACTAATCATATATTTCCATAATCGTCTACTGATTAACAAAAATACAGTGGAGAAGTGCTTGTCTTCACTTTTAGTTTGTACTCATTATGGTCATTTAGAGGCATTCACCGCGCACTTGCAAGGATTAAGTGGTTAAAAGTTGGATGAATAGAACCACCCTTACTCTGTCCAAAGTCACATTGAGTCCTATTTACTTTAAAGCATCTTTTAAGCTTAGGTTTAATTAAGAATAATGACTTTTAAGGATACCTTTTACGTTTTAAATGATAATGATTTTAGTAAGTTAAAATAAGAGACGTTAATAACTTGGTGTATTTTGAATAAAGAAAAAGATGACAAGTATTGTAAACATTACTTCTTTAAAATGACTACTCTACTTTTGAATCTGTTAATGACCCTTATTATCATATATGTTTGTAAGGACATGTCACATACTGAAATACTGACTGAGTTTTCCCCAATTCATCAAACGTGAAACAATTCAGGCATCACATATGTTGTTTTACACGAATTCATGTGTAGAAACAAGAACATCACTTCCACTGGAAATAATTAAATGTCTTTAACAGAAGAAACACAGAGAGAGAGAGAGTGGTAGTGAGGTCAATTTGTAACTAAACCAAGAACAAGTATATCGGTCGATAAAAACAGTTAGCAAGATCAAAAGGTTAAATTTCAGGTCATTGACATCAGCAATATCAATACAAGCGAATAAAGACTTAAGGAAGTTGATAAGAGAATAAAACTTGTTCACTTTGGTGGAGTATAATTCCATCATGAGTAAAATTTATTTTAATGAAGTCTCACGGTAGTATTTACTGATGACGTTTCGAGAACAGTTTATTGCTTATAATTATATCGAGGTGCTCACACTTTGTTTATATAATTCCATTATTTTTTTCATCGCTTGATTTGATTAGAAGTAGTATTCTCCATATTTCCGGTATGAGTGATGAGTCATTCCTAGTGCATGTGTTGGGTGTAGACCCGATGAACAAGGATTCAGTAATCAACCTCTCTTGCTCTCCATCTACTTAGATTACCTTTTATAATTTTAACCCTCTTCCATCCTATTGTGTGGTTGTTTTTTAATGCATGCAATGCAATGTAGTGCTGAGCTTTTTTCTAAATAACTTATCTTCTCGGGGTCAACCATTCTTACCTTAGCCACTAAATTCTTATGTTCTGACAACCTGACTACCCCTGACCTACTAGTTTGACCTATGTAGTTGACCTAACATTGCATGGTATTTTCTAAATTATATTATTTTGTCTAATTGGGTCAACCGACAGGGTCTTTTAGCCTACAGAGCTTGTCCCTGAGTGAGTTTGTAGGTTTAAATGCCACCCTAATTCCTGCTTTATTAAGAATCCTACGTAAGGTCTCAGATGTCCCTTCCTTATGTAGAATAACAGTAGATGCCTTATATTCTCTCTTATCTCTGTTATCATTACTAATTTCACAATCATTTTTATTCCTCTTTTGGCCTTTTTCAATCTTCCTAATAAATTTTAAAGCATAGTTATTTAACACCAACGCCTCTTTTATCTGTTTTATTTCATCATTTAGATTTTTTTTGTGCTACTTAGTGCTACTGCTCGGTTTGTTAAACACTAAACTAAGCCTGCCTTAACAGACAACGAACAAATGGGACAAATTAAAGTCTAAGTATCTATTAGAATGCGTTGGTTTTCTATAAAGACCAGTGTGTAGTTGGCCTTCTTCTATTCGTTTTATTTTACTATCCAACATGGCTAATTCTCCTTGTTCATTTTCCGATTCCAATGTGAATTTTATTCCCTTTGCTAGTCAGTTTATGTGTGTAAAGAAG